TTTTTTTCACCGATTCGATCCGTCCATGACGATTCCCGAGTCGAACCCGGGCGAGTCCAGTTCGACTCGACGTTTTTTTAAACACTGGTTGTATGTATCGAAATTTTGCTTAGAAAATTATGCAATTTTTTTCTTTACATAATAAGGTATATTGGTTGTCGCACGTGAAATTAGTTGTTCGGAGGTGCTAAAGTTGCATTGGTCGTCTAAAAATTATTTTTTTCATTTTTAACTGTTTAGTTTTCATGTGACGGCTACAAGGGATTGTGATATTCTTGTACAAAATATAAATAATTGTATAATATACGATCATTTTTTACCACTCATCTATATATTATGTACAATTATATTTTTTTTCACACTTCTTTTTTTTTTTGTTGCTTCTGTCATTACCGTAGTAAGGGCCCTTAATTTTTGAAAGTTTGATCAAACTCTTAAATCTATCTAGAATAGAATCCAAAAAGATAAGGTTTTGTCATCCACGATTTAAGCGAGTCCTACGAATAAAAGTATATCACCTCCCAAAATCTTGACAGTTGATATTGCATTTTATTTTTTAAAAAATATATACTGATATTCAATTAAATTGAGTTAATATATGATAGTTTTAAAATAAGAGATCTGAAAATAAGTAATGTAACACCTTTTAAAGTTTTATTTATGTTGTTATTGTATGGCTTTTATTTTAATTACTTGGAGAAAAACAGAAGAAGCAAACTCATTAAAATATATAATTTATTTTGTTTTTATTCATGCAACATTCAATACGAGGATATTTAAATAAAGGTGCGGCTTGTATAGAGTCGAGGCTCTAAACAATCAAAGAAAAGCGCACTTTCAAATAGTATCGAGAAATATAATTTCAACACTATAAATCTTTGTGATAGCCTTAAAATATATTTTCATCTTTAATTATAAAATTTAAACTTAAAAAATAGTGTATATTGAACAGATCTATAAAAATTTTAAAAACAGTCCAAATTTGCGTTACAATATGCACTATTTCCAAAACTTGAAATCCATTTTTTTTTATGTCCATGCGTATTGATGTTGAGATGATCAATTTGAAGATATTTGGAGGTCAAAACAACCTCTTCTAGTGAAATTTTTGACATGGGCTCTAATTTGACTGTTTAAAGCCTCGGCTATATATAATCTTCTTTCCTTTAAATAATCAAAGTTTGCTATTAACAAATTTAAATCCTTTATTCTACAACGGCATAAATTATATTTTAACGATAAATTATCAATCAATTAAACATCTTACCCATATTTTTTTATCTAATTCCAAGTTGCTCCTTATTATTTTGATCAAATTTCAAATAGCCAAACAAATCATACATCAAATTGGATTTTGAAATTGACGTAAGAAAAAAAACACTCGAACTAATAAAAATAAAATAAAAATGGTTGAAAAATTATATCATCCCAATGTGAGTTTGCAAGAGAGTCTAGCTTGATATATTTTCACAAAATCAAATTCTTCATTTATTCTCCAATCACTCTCTCTACAAAGAAGGGACATCTTCCCTTAACTACAAACAGCTAGTAATACAAATAAAATAAAAATAACAAACTATACTCTATCTCGCATTTATCTGTTAAAAAATCTAACATATCGTACCCAAATCAACCAAACTAATTTCTATCCATATTCATCTTTTTTTAAAAAAAAAGCTAAAATTTCAATTCTACCCCTTAAATCCGTATAACTAAAACTTACAAACTTATGAGAAATAAAAGTAAAATAAAGATATAAGCCACATTAATCTCTATGCGTATTCATATTTTTTTAATAAAAGTTAAAATTTCAATTATACCCTTTAAATTCACTAAAACTTACAATCTTGCAAGGAATAAAATAACAAACTAAACTCTATCTCTCTCTTAGCTTTTTTTCCTTTTTAAAAAAGTATAATATATCATATCAAATCAACCATGTTAATTTCTATCTATTTTCCTTAAAAAAAAAAAAAAACTAAAATTTCAATTCTACCCCTTAAATCTCTATAACGAAAAAAGCATAAAAATAGCCCTAAAAAAAACTAAAAATATAAATAATATATTTTCTACGTCCTAAAATATATATAAAATAAAATAAAAATATCATGTTTTTATTTGCATCACTCTCTTTCCGTTGGGAGAAGTTCAACCTCAATCATGTTGAATTTAAATATTTCAGATACCTCGATCATGTTGAATTTAAATCGTTAAGAGGTTTTTTCAAAAGTTGATGATGCAGTCCCAACATTATTCTCGGTACTTTTTATTTAATAAACCAATTCGTCAAATACTTTGTATGTAATTTGAAGTATAATATTAGGATATCAAGCTTAATCTTATTTTGTTTTTATTACTTACAAAGTTGAATTTCAAATAATGCATCATACATATATTGTTATTCATAATTGATTTTTAAAATTTATTGCACGTTTGGGTTATCGACATCATCTTTTGTATAAAAAATCTATCTCTTCATATTCTTGTTCCTCTTGTTGCAATATACTACGTCGGTCTTGTAGATATTGTTGTATTGATTTGCGAAGATCTTCTATGTGTCTATCGAATTGTTGATCCATTTGCTCAAAATGTTTGATCAAATCATCAAAATGATGTATGGATCTTTGTTCTTAAGACTCTGATAAGAACTGATGTGGAAAAAAACATAAACAGAATAATAAAAATAAAGATACCAACCGATTAGTTATCTCTCATGAATATCTTGATAAAATTATTTTTAATAATATTAGATATAGGCATACAAGAACTCAAAGTGTAATGATATTTTTATAAGAATTATAATTTGGTGATTCTAGAGGAGATTCCAAATTTCCAAACCAAGAAAACTCTATTTTCCAAAATTTCAAATTAAAAAGTACTAAAATATTAGCCTTTTGGCTAAGGGATTTATTTATTTTTCAATGGCTATTTTTAGCCATTAGATGTAAAATTTGATAGATTGAAGTGTGTCACAATATTTGAAAATTTTTATTTTAAACATTGTACTCAATCAATGATACATTTAAAACTAAGCAATTTCACATATAAAGATGAAAGATCAATAATAATTGTGATTTCCTTGTACAAAAAATTAATGGATGAGGTTTCTATAAGGCCCATGCTTTATAAAAACAAAATAAAGCGTCACCGTAAATTCTCATTAGAAAAATACTTTCAATGACATAAATCTCTGTGCTGGCTCTAAAATCAATTTCCAACAGTAAAAATAAAATTTGAAACTCAAAAAACATTACAGATCTTTCGGATATATGAACTCCTATTTTAAGGTAAAATGAACAGTCTAGATATTTTATTTATAATATACAATATTTTTAGAGCTTGGATCATAATAATTTTCAAAACCATAATGTTCAAATTGAGATGATCACTTGCAATTTTCTATGAGTTGTGAGGCGAGGATTTGCGTATTTTGATAGGGTTACAGCCCTATCAAACCATTTCCTAATATTAATATTTTATGGAAAAAGTTTAAATAAGATTATGACCTTAAAATGTAGAAATAAAGATGCACCTCAATAATCCATTGCAAAAGGTTGTTTAACGATCATCTCGACATCAAGATATATGAATATGAAAAAAAAAAAATTTAAGTCCTAAAAATAGTGCATCGTGCAATATATTATCTAGACCGTCCATTTTCAAGATTTTCATATATTTATAGATCTACTTGATTTTAACCATT